TACCGTGGTCTCGGGATATCCGTATGTAAACTGTGTAATACCGTGGTCTCGGGATATCCGTATGTAAACTGTGTAATACCGTGGTCTCGGGATATCCGTATGTAAACTGTGTAATACCCTGGTCTCGGGATATCCGTATGTAAACTGTGTAATACCGTGGTCTCGGGATATCCGTATGTAAACTGTGTAATACCGTGGTCTCGGGATATCCGTATGTAAACTGTAATACCGTGGTCTCGGGATATCCGTATGTAAACTGTGTAATACCGTGGTCTCGGGATATCCGTATGTAAACTGTGTAATACCGTGGTCTCGGGATATCCGTGTGTGTTTGTGGTCGCCATAGCCGAAAACCACAACAGGTACCGGTACGTGAAAGTCCTCTTCCGTCCATCCGGGGCTTGAACAAATCCCTTTCGGAATCGAAAATAATTTGTAAAGATGTTCGTGGTTGAATTGTATGGTAATCTATTGCACTTAGGGAACCAGAGTATATCTTCATTTCTAGTGAGTGAGTTTGGTTTTACGCCGCTTTTGGCAATATTCCAGCAATATCACGGCGGTGGACACCAGAAATGGGCTTCACACATTGTACCCATGTGGGGAATCGAACCTGGGTCTTCGGCGTGACGAGCGAACGCTTTTACCACTAGGCTACCCCACCGCCCCTCATTTCTAGTGAGTAAGTGAATGAGTTTAGTTTTACGACGCAATATCCCAGCTACATGGCGGCGATCTGTATATAATCGAGTCTGAACCAGAAAATCCAGTGATCAATCTACACAGTTGGGATACGATGACATGTTTCAACCAAGTCAGCAAGCCTGACCACTCGATCCCGTTAGTCGCTTCTTTCGACAAGTATGGGTTACTGAAGATCAATTCTAACCCTGTTGTGGGGACATGGTGGGCGAGCTGTCTAAGGCGCCAGGCTAGTGATCCAGTGAGCTTGAGGTGACGGGATCGAGCCCACCTGTGACCGGGTGTAAAACATTGGAGTCAACTTGTGTTCAGACTCCTTCAGTATTGTCACAACCCCTAGTGTACAGTACACAACCCTGTGCACTTAAAAGAACCCACGAATCCGTTGGTAAATGACCAGATGGTGCCCTAGGGAATACGTGCAAACACCTTGCTGCGGGTACAACAACGTGCAGTAAACTTGGACAAAGTACTGTGACTATATGTCCCAGTCCACCCAGCTGTGAATGGGTACCTCGTAAGGATGGGAAAAGCGACATTAACTCAGTGCGCCTAGTGGCTGCAAGAGTTGTATGTTCCCCTGGGAGTTGAGATTGACATCCAATGGTCGAGGGGAAAAAACAAAGCACCTTTGAGCAGGTGATCTAGATACGCTATACATACATATATGTATATATTTTCATGGGTCTCTTCATTAGGGCTTCCACGGGTACTCGAGTACTCGAGGACGAGTTGGGTTTAGCTGGACTCGAGTCCATTTTCAAGGACTCGAGGACTCGAAAAAGGGAGATAACTCGAATTATTGACGTTGACGGACTGTCTGCCATGTGCTCAGCATGAGCGGCCGTTAACGTCTAATATTAAGAAAAAGATATAACTTTATTATCCCGGAGGAAATTCTCATACATCCAACGTCAAAATAAATATATACACAGTTCACAAAAATGTACACAATAATTACATGCTCAAAACGAATGCTATTTACAAATAAAACTGGCATGATATAATTCAATTAACCACATAGGTAAAGAGGCTGAATAATTCTGGTGAATGGTGATTCAAAATATTTGTTGCATTCACGAATACTTGATGGTATGAAAGACTATCGAGCTCTGTTTTGGGGGAAAGTAATCGACAGCAGCGTCCAGAAGGAAGTAGTTCAAAATGGTGAGATCAAATATGTCAACTATCAAATCTAATTTTAGCTGTCTTTTTGACTATACTCGAAATACACTCCAGAAATTTTGCAAGCAGTATTAACAATTTTGAAAAGTCTGTTTTTGTTAAGATGAGACAGATCCCCATACCATCATAGAAAATTGTAGGTCAACACACTTTGAATAAAGGTTTGTTAAAAAACTGTCATTACGGTTTTGTCAATGCCTTGACGATAATAATGTTCAGAATCAGAAATTAGGCCAGTAACAGTTGAGATTTTACTTCTTAAAATGATTAGGTAACTATCTTGACAATTAATCGTTTGCTTGAAAGGTATGAATTTCGAGTATTCGGGTCCGAGTCGAGTCTCACCCCTCGAGTACTCGAGTCCAAAAAAATGGACTCGTTGAAGCCCTACTCTTCATTTCTAAAACTGAAGTCAACTACGCTACCTCTGTAGATCAAAAACAAGACCTGGCCCTTTAACATGTTTTGGTTTGTTGTTTAACCACACACTCACCAACATTCCAGATATATATATATGACGGCTGACAGTAAATAATCGAGTCTGGACCAGACAATCCAGTGATCAACAGCATGAGCGAGTCTGTCCACCCGCCTTTTACGACATGCACGGGTTGCTGAAGACAAAATTCTTGACTGACTGGCAATTAATCGGCACATGAGGCTTAATAGATTAATGTGGTGTTTAATATTGTCTCTCATGCAAATAACACTACATGCCCATGGTGTACGGACATTATTTATTTCACTTCTCCAAGAGCGTAATCTGGAAGCCCAGTCAGGAAAAGGGTTTAACACGTGCTAGGTCCTTCCCCAGAAGATCAAAATGATCGATCAATAGTTGTAGACTTCCTATAAGAGAGGCAGAAGCAATTTCTTTAACTGTAGCTAGCATGAGGTCATAAAGATGTGATGGATATTAAAAACTGCTTAATCCCATAAAGTTTCACGTCCTGGCGTTTATGTGTCACGTGATCAAATGTATTATGAAAATCAATATTACTTATGTGACAATCGATGCACGCGGCCTTACACAGACATCCGTTATACCACACCTGTTCTATAACCACCGTACTGACACCACTCCCGAGCCTTTCTCGTGATATTGATTAATATAACTATATATTTACCTACATGCACCACCTTACACATGGTGTTTGAGTTGCACAGAAGTCGATACTGTGATGGCGGAGTGTGCAGTATATCACAATATAATAGTATAATAATTGTGACGGTTTGCATTCATGGGATGCCTGAAAGAACGCTAGGCGTGATGACGGTGAGGGTACTGACGGAAGCAGTCGGGATATGTGAATATACGTGGACTACAACAGAGACACGGTATAAGCTGAGGATACATTTAACCGCGGGTAGGTGTAAATATTTAATTCAAATTTTAATCTATGAAATCTTTTATGATGCACTACTCTTCTGAATCTATATTTCCAATGCCAGTTTAATTTAATTAGCAATAATTCTGTAAACTAGATTGGCCTTATTACATTCCATGCAGATATATCACAGTTCTAATTTCGATAATTGAATATGAAATGTGAATTTTATCATTTACGATTTAGATGTAGTTTGGATTTATAAAATGAAACTGTTTTGAAATTCATTGTAGATTATTCCAATTGAATATGCATCCAGTCGCCTGGATATGCCAGGATGTCGTTAGATCGAATCTCATATTCACTCACATTATGATACTTGGATTGTGAAAACAAATTAGTTTAATTGCCACCAAATAGTAAATGCATTCATCATTCGTCACTTGGACGTTTCCTCCTGAACAGTAATCTACCACGTTCAGATAAAATACTGTTTCAAAAATACATTTTAAAATAACGGTACATGAGTGTGTAAGTTGTTTTCGGAACCTTTAGCAATTTTCAGCAATATCACGGCAGGGACACCGCATTATATCCACTTCGGGAGACGAACCTGGGTTTTTGACGTTGTACGCTCTAAGCACTACCTACCCCACCGGCCTTTCGACGCATGCCACATATGCTTTATCTTCATATATAAATTCACAAACCGACATGAATTTTTCAATGTTTCAAATTCAACTTGATAGGTAAACACAACATTGGCAGGAGTATGTTCACGTAATGGAAGAGCCAAACACCCTCTGGCTGACGAAGAAATGCCGGAACCGTAATTGAAGCATGTTTCTGGAGGGGGTCAAGGGTTTAAGGAATAGCGCCAACTCGATATGCGCTGGCGATGTAATTGTATTTTTCATGGTAACATATTAAACTGCTCCTGTAACACATTCATGCACGAATCGATGACTGTGTTGTGGTCAAAATGACATTTTCTGATTGGCTTGTTTTTGGAGGTACTGATCGCAGTTTTATTTCTAGTGAAAAGGTTATCAATTGAACATTATCTGGAGACAGGTAGTTTATCATAGGGAAGGGGTTGTTTCGTTTTGTCTGGTGTGGGGATGGCTTGAAAAACATGTTACATTATATAACGCGGGAAGAGACATGTAGTTCTAAGATCAATCTCTCAAAAAATAGTGAGTGAGTATGGTTTTAGGCTGCTTCCAGCAACATTCGGGGAATTTCCAACAATATTATGGCGGGGCACACCAGAAATATGTTTCACACGTTGTACTCATGTGTTTAATTGAACCCAGATCTTCGGCGTGACGATCCAACGCTTTAACCACTAGACTACCCCACTGCCTCAGAGACCAATGACATGTCCCATACAACCGATAATAACACAAAAGAAAATTCAGTGAGCGTGTTTGAGACAAACTGGTGGCACTATCCATCCATGCCTTGTAGAAATGACCTCACTGGACAAATGGTAAATGTAAACCTAACCGTTACGACAGTCAAACAACGAGCAGACGACATATCAGCTGCATCAGCACCCTTTCATTTCGTTGAAAGCGACGTGCCGGTTTCATACCGGCCCATGTCCCCTACATCCAATGCGATTGGTCAATGGCAGGGTCTAAAAATAGCAGGGGTTACGCATGAGGGATTTGGTAGCTTTTCTTATTAGAAGTGAATATTTGGAGCAGTGGTCGTGACGCTTGGCAACGGGGTAGCCAAGGTTGGATTCAAGTGTACAAACCTCTTTCCTGTTCATTTCAGATCACATCGAAGGTGACATCAACGAGAAGCAAGCCCAGCACGAAACCCACGTGTATTGGAGTTCACACGCCATCATGTGCTCTCTGCATCTAATGTAAACAATGTACCCACGGACAAAAGAGTGATTCGAAATCTGGCGGGTTGAGTTTGCAGTCGCGACAAAATTGGATTACTAACTGTACCCCGAGGATTTAAAGGGACCGTTTGCACAGGACAATGTAAGTGTTTCCTCTGTCGAGTTAGAAGAAGTTTGTCATATCGATTGTGATAATGTCTTTGTCTCTTGTCTAAGACAATGAGACGAGTTGAGATGGCCCCCTTTCTTTCACTTGGAAACAAAGACCATCTGTCTACGGACACTGACGATCAGCTTAGATTTACGAAAAAATAATATTTTCATTGAAAGGGACATTTAAACATCTAGTCAATTTTAAAAAACAGTTTACACATAATTTAAAAAGGACATTTTAACTTAGTTTTGTATTTTGGTGTAGAAATGACGGTATAATTCAGAGTAAGTACACAAATCAGATATGAACAACTATTTTGTGTGTATTGTAATTCTAAAGTTATTAAATTGAAAATATTTCCGCAAAACACGGAATTTGACAGTTTTTGTTTCAATTTCGACATGAGTTAAGACCACAGCTATATACTGTAGCACGTGTACACTTGATAGTTTTTTCTTCAGGATTGTGACTGTTTTCGGTTTCAAATCCCTTCACGGCATGTCGTAAATGTATATGATTATCATGAATACTAGTATTCCCGCGGGATCATGCATGTGACGGTGAGGCAAACCGTTTTGACAACACGTGTATTCCGATCAATTGATCAGCTGATGTTTTGTAAACAGATGTTACATATATATGCATGATACAATATTCTCCTATTTGTAACACCACGTGTGTGTGTATTCACAAGTTCTACTGCCCAGTGGTATGGAATGATCCCGTACATTAAAGCGGCAACCGACAGGAAACATTATGCTCGCGGAGTGGATATGGAGGGCCATTTTTCATCTGGTGAATGTAATTATCCTGTTTCACTAGAATTAGACATAATTGAGAGAAGGCATTAAGTAAATGTCAACCACTTCCCTGGGCTGCAGTGCAGACAGAATGTCAAGTTAGACCGAAAACCTATGTTCGCGTAGCATATTATTAACTTACATTCATACATATATATTTGTATTAGACCTATGCATATTTTAAAACAAATTAGTTCAGAGTGAGTGTATTTTACGCCGCCTTTAGCAATATTCCAGCAGCATCATGCCATGGGACACCAGAAATGGGCTTCACACATTGTAGGGGAATCGAACCCGGGTATACACCGCACCTAGATAGACATAGAAGCAGAATATAGTTTACAATGAAATAGGATAGTGGGTAGCGCACCATGTGGTGAATCAGGGTCATTGTAGCCTCCAGCCGTGATGTTGCTGGAATATTGCTAAAGCGGCGTAAAACAAAACTCAGTCAGTCAGTTAACGGTGTGAATTGTTGTTCATGCTATCGGCAACCATCTGCCTGTCCTGTGCCCGAATATTCCCACAACCAATTTCTGTACACACACCCCACCCCCAACACACACACATTCCCCCACCCGTCTCCCCGGGATGAACAAGATAACCACGTGTTCTTATTGACACTTGGCGCCAAGCAAACGTTTGAAAAACAACGATAGCGAGGCTGCCAGATGTGTAATGTGTATTCAATAAGTTTGATATTGTAACTTTTTGCCTCTTTCGTAGCCTTGCACCAAGGCTGTACTGAATGCTAGGCATTTGGATTTATAGTGATTCTGTTCTTTGAACGGGTAAGTCTAGATAATCGGTCTGAGGATGCCAGTCTGTTAGGGGGACAATGTGTTAATTTCATATATATTTATACAAAATTATCATTTAAACTATTAATAATTACTTTAGAGACTTGTGCAAGTCTACCACTTGCGCTTTGCTTTATTGAGAATATATGTGCACGGAAGAACGTCTCCAGATAAGATTCAGCTTGGTGAAACTTGACATATACTTCCTATTATGTAACCGAAACTAGCAATTAAGTAGTTTAACACGGACTCGTCTTCAATGTCACCTTCAGCCCAAGTAGGTAAGGAATTGGGGGGTTGGGGGTCGGCCGGAGGCGTGACCAGCCACATGTGGCATCACCTCGTGGGTTTTACCATCGGGCGGAGACACAAGAAAACCAGAAGATGTTGAAGCGTGCCTTGTAGCGTCTTCACAAGGTGACTTCCTTTCACAGCTGTTTGTGGTTGGCGCCCAGTCACTGGCGACTCGCACATGTGGTTGTCTTGTTCTTCTGGGTGGCAGTGGGGCGACTGTGGCTTCGTCACGTGTGTGTTTGTTTCATTTTAGGATTATATTCCATCAATCGAAACACGAAAATAGTTGTGGGTACACATGGGCTATGTTAGTCTGTCTCACAGTCCCTGGACCATATTATTTTCCCTGTAGCCTAGCCCTCCCTGCAATGCTGAAGGCCTAAATGAAGCAAGTCTAGATTTCCCAAGGTTCTGAATCTCTTGTCTCCTTTGGGCTCATTTTCAATTTAAATTGGTTTATTTGTTACAATCATACAGTGTAGCCCTGAACTTCTGGTGACGGGGCAGGGACGAGTTAGTTCACCTGTGAAGGGAACAGAGTAACGCCCCTTGGCATGCCAGAAACATATGAGGGTGGGTTCGAATCTCATTATCCTAGTGAGACTTGATCTCACTTTTTGCCCCATACGCCCTGTTAAAACTGAAATAATATTATCCAGTTACAGTCTCCCTCTGAAAATCACGGGAGAGTAATGGAATGGTCGTTATGCTCTTCATTTCTGCAGAAAAGGAAACGTTTACATGACATGGGATATAAACCGTCCACCTTTCTATTTAAGAGGAATAATATTTAAGGACAAGTTGAGATTATTCTCTCACTCACTCACTCTTCAGCACACCATGCTTGTCGTAAAATGTTCCTGGTTGTGTGTGAAAGTACTACATTATGAAACTACGTATGTGACGACAAACAGGTGCGTGATTTGAAGTATACAACTAAACTCACTAAATCAAAGTCCTTCATAATTGATAGTAGATGGTTAGTGAATAGCGGTGACATCAAGAGTGTATGTTTGTGGGTGTTTAACTAGATAACAGTGGCTTATGACGTCATATTGTGTAATGACATCCTCCGCGGTATTGCGTCATCTGTTCACATAAGTGGTGACAATTTGATCACTCGTTAATTAGTCCCTCATTATGCCTGTAGGCCAAGAGGTACGACCCTTCACAGGTCGTTGGTCTGATGATAACGACATGAGATCTGACGCCCCGCTTTGTAAGGTGGGGTAGAATTTAATTAGGTGCAATCCGGTAATTGCTCTTCGCAATTAAGAGACGGTATGGAGGATGCGAATGATCAAATCTAGGCCAGATATTATAGATATATCATACATGTAATATAAATGTAATATTATTTGAGGGAGTCGACTGATACATGACTGAGTGACTATTATTTTACACCACTCTTATCCAAGTAATAATCCGGGGTAGAATAGGTCTTCAGCAACCCATGCTTGCCACAAAAGGCTCTAACACCCAATGGTCACCCCATTCACATCGATTTGTGATGATCCGGGTTAGAATTGATCTTCAGAAACCCATGCTTGTCGTAAGAGGCGACTAACGGGATCGGGTGGTCAGGCTCGCTGACTTGGTTGACACATGTCATTGTATCCCAATTGCGCAGATCGATGCTCATGCTGTTGATCACTGGATTGTCTGGTCCATACTCGATTATTTACAGACCGCCGCCATATAGCTGGAATATTGCTGAGTGCGGCGTAAAACTAACGCACTCACTCCAAGTAATATCATGGCGGGGAAGGGAGAGTTGAGACACTAGTAATGGGCATCACACTTTGTACCCAGGAATAGAATCTACCTGGCAGGTATGTGTTGTCGTGTTAATCTATTGTACTACTCTAATATAGCATGGTGTTGACGAAGACTTCAGTAAATATCCAAGTCAGTAACTGTTTGATTTGTTGTTCAACGCCGCACTCAGCAATATTCCAGCTATATGGCTGTGGTCTGTAAATAATCAAGTCTGGACCAAAAATGTAGTCATCATCAGCATGAGCATCGGTCTACGCAACTAGGATACGATGACATGTGTCAACCAAGTCAGCGAGCCTGACCACCCGATCCCGTTAGTCGCCTTTTACGACCAGGGTTACTGAAGACCAATTCTAACCCGGATCTACACGGTTATATGTGTCTGTAAAAGAGCGGGGTGCGAAACTCTACATCCTGTGCGGAGACAAATGAGTGGTTGATACCTTACCTTGATGCTGATTTCTTTTAACAGTAGGACTGACTGACTGACTGAGTTTGGTTTTACGCCGCTTCTAGCAATATTTCAGCAACATCACGGCGGGGGACACCAGAAATGGGCTTCACACAATGTACCCATGTGGGGATTCGAACCCGGGTCTTCGGCGTGACGAGCCAACGCTTTAACCACTAGGCTACCCCACCACCCCTTTAACAGTAGGAACAGTACATAAGCATCTGGTATCTGACATGAACATATTCAACCGAAAAACAGTTCTTAAATTTAACTTAAAACGTCTCACTTGAAGCAGCGAAGAAACCTTCAACTGTCATCTAGACCTGTCACATATTATAACTTGCATGGGCTGTTTTTGAGATAGTCTATGTGAGCGGATTCGTTTAAACCTGTTGATTTGTTCGCAGTATTTTTATTTCTCAATATCTGAAAGCTACCGTCGCATGACATCAGCCCGTGACATTAATGAAACTATTATGCCTCGTCAATCCAAAGTAGTTGTTAAAAGGTTAAATGGCATGAAAAAAATACTGCGTTTCGTATGTCATGATGTTCATTGTATATGGCCAGCCTGTTCCTGTAGGGATTGTTGGTATGGTAATTACATCAGATAAATAACAATTGTAACATACTTGATGGGTCGAAACAAATGTCCTGCTTCTGGATGCTGCATTTTCATTGGACGTCACATCCCAGTCCCAAGTGACGCGTTACATGATTGGTCAGTTAGAGACAGTGCGAGCCTTTTTTCTGGCAATATCCAATAGTCTCATTACTTAATATAATTATGTTGACACAGACACATGGGTTTCTCGCGTGTACTTATTGCTCGGGTAGTGATTATGTCACATACATGACTAT